GTGATGACTTAATGGGCAGCCACAAGGTCGCCTCTCAACCTTCTCTTGCGGAGGCTGAAAAGGTCCAGTTTCTCTAGTCTCTCCTTATAGGGCTTGGTCTGCAAGCCCTTAACCATACGAGTGGCCCTTCTCTGGACCCTCTCCAGGTTATCCGCATCCCTCTTGAAGTGCGGCGCCCAGAATTGCACGCAGTACTCCAACTGCGGTCTGACCAGTGCCCGATAGAGGGGAAGTATCACCTCCTTGGACCTATTCGTCATGCATCTGCTGATGCACGATAAAGTGCCATTGGCTTTTCTGATGGCTTCTTCACACTGCCGACTCATGTTCATCTTGGAGTCCACTAAGACTCCAAGATTCCTTTCCACTTCTGTGCCACCCAGCAGGTCATTCCCTAGGCTGTAGGTGTGCTGGACATTTTTCCTCCCTAGGTGCAGCACTTTGCATTTCTCCTTGTTGAATTGCATTCTGTTGTTTTCCGCCCAGATGTCCAACCTGTCCAGGTCTGCTTGTAGCTGTTCCCTGCCCTCCGGCGTGTCCACTTCTCCCCACAGTTTTGTCATCTGCAAACTTGGACAGAGTACATTTCACTCCCTCGTCCAAGTCACTGATGAAGACATTAAAGAGTATCGGCCCAAGGACCGAGCCCTGCAGGACCCCACTGCCCACACTCTTCAGGTCAAAACCGACCCAGATGTGATGTGTATCTGTGAAATTTTTACTGGGTACAACAGGTCATCTTCAGTTCCCTGGATGATGGCAAATTTTATTTGATAGCCACTAGGCAGATTCCTCTGTTACTCCAGGTTAAATGCATACATAACCAAGTTTAGAAGCATATAAGATTCCTTTTTTAGCTTACTGTAATTGATCATCTGGACACAAAGAAGAGAACAGGTGGCCAGTAAAGACTGTTGGAAAATTCTCAATACAACTCCAGCTGCAGTTTTGGTTGGGTTTTTTTTAAGGAAAGAACAAAAAACATTTGTGTTTCCTTAGGTCATCATCAAATAGCAATATTATGATTATTTGAGGGACATTACAACAATTACAAGTTAACATCATGAGTCAGAAGCAAGACAAGGTTCTGCAGCATAGAATCACGACCTCTTTCATAATTGCTTCTTGGAACAGACAGCTTTCCCAGTTGAGGTCCTTCATCACTCTGGTGCCTGGTGAGTAGTTGCTGTAGGTGGGCTGCACACTCAAATGCTTCTTTCTGATATGGATCCAGGATTTTGTAAAGGGGGATGTAGATACAGTGACAGGCACTGCAGGCATGGCTGTATCCCCCCTCCCAGCTTTCCCCCCCAAACTGGGACAGGCAGATCAAAGGGCAGGAACAGCAGCTGGGGACAGTCAGAATCCTGTCACTCTCAGCATGCCTTCCCTTCCCCTCCATGCTCAGCAGCATGTTCCCCATCCTTTCTCCTCTCCTCCCATTCCTGCCCTCTCCTGCCTCCTGATGCCACTGTCCCCACTGTCCCTGGCTGACCTGGGGGCACAGAGAGCTTCAGAGGCCGCCCTACCCCACTCCAGCTGGGCTGCTTTGGGAGCCAGGCTTAGCTGGGGACAGCGGTAGCAGTGGCAGATGGTTCCCTTTTCCTGAGCTTGCTCCGAGGGCAGTGAAAAGCCAAGAGAACAAGGCAGGGTCCCCAGCTGAGCCCAGTTCCCCAAGCAGCCTAGCTAGAGCAGGACAGGAGCAGCTCTGGAGCTCCTCACACCCCTAGGTCAGCTAAGGAGAGCGGAGACAGCAGCAATGTTAGGCAGGGGAGGTGGGGAATAGAAATGAAGGAGACATTCTGCTAAGTATGGAGAGAAAGGGTGGGTGGATTTTTACCTGCTTCAGGGACTTAATGTCCCCAGCTGCTGGTCCTGTAGACTGGTCCAAAAGGAGGGCATGGCTGCACTGCTACACCCTCTCTGGATCCAGTGGTGTAACCAGGATGAGGCACCCAGGGCAGCCACCCTGGACACCAACTTGGAGGTGGAGAAGGGAAAAAATGGTTTCAACCACAGCCACATGATCACAACAGTGATTGCATGGTGGCAACTGGAAGCTGCACTGTATGTGGCAGCTGTGCCATATTGTTCCACCTCTGACATTTGCCCCTGTCATCTGCCATTGGTAAAAGTAGCATTGGAGCAGATGCTGAGAGAAAAGAAACTATATAGTTTACAGGATTTCTACAACCAGGTAAGAACTTTTTTGTCCAAAATGGAGTGTTACCACTTCAGACAGTATCATCCATATGTTGATGTCTCTCATTTCAGTATTTAGTTAATGAACTAATAAGAATATATGTATGCACCAATGCTTCATGCTGTGTAAGATCCGGATTGACCAATGGTTTGTCATAGGCTCGACACTGCTAATACCTAAAAGATTTCCTCCTTAATTTCAGTAGACACGGCCAATGCTTCTGAAGCAAGATAGTTCTTTCCAAAGTCATCATAAAGATTTGAGCAACAACAACATGTAGCACTGTTTCTCAAGAGCTCATGGGCTTGCTATATCATCTTAAATTCTTTACCTATATTACTAAACACCATCTTAGATTATTAAAGTCTCAGCAAATCTATATGAGAAAATCAATATTATTTCCCACTATTTATATCAGTTCTCCCTTCTCTTTTTTGCTCTTCTAATGATGAAATGAGACTGATCAGTTTTGATTTCTTGTTTATAGTCAGATTTACTTCCTGGCTCTCATACTAGTACAAGATATTTGCATCTGAGCTTCCAACTCTATAAGATGTTATTTACTTCTATTTTTAAAAATTCTGTTTTCAATTAAATTAAAGAAAAATCATGGACACTTAATCATATTCCACTCTTTAAACCAGATCTCTTTTTCACTTAGTCCCTTTTAAGGAAGTGGAATCTTGAATTAGTCCCCCTTTAAATTAGTTATCAGTAAAAGATAACTAAGTTTTGTATAAGTGGGATGAGCTAGCTTTGGATGCAATTTGCTCTGTGAAAGCACAAGCATCTATATATCATGAAATGTATTCCTCACAGTTTCACAAAGACTGATGGATTTTAATTTCAGGTACACGGTGGCTCTCAACAATGATTTCCATTTCTGTGCTACCACTAACCCTCTGGATAAATGCGTCAGAGTTTTAAGAATTGCTTTTCTGAGTTACTGGTGCAATAACTTTACTTTGAAATTCTCAGGCCTCTCATAGTTTACCACTGAAACTTTATTAACTTTCAGAGCTGTTTCCAAGTAGATTTTTTTATGTCACTGGTGTATAAGACTGGGGAAAGGCAGCATCACTTGAGTTCAGGTTCATTATAACACTTCTTCACATTTTGTGGCACTAATTTCAAGAAGTGGATTTTTTGAGGTTCAAGTGATTTTTGTGAAAAGAACGGGTGAGTCTCAGTACAATAATAATACTACTACTAATAAAAGTATGACAGGCAGATTTCTGAGAGGCACCAGGGAAAGAATGCCCCTGGGAAACTGAGTTGGTATAGAAACCCACTGGTGGGTTAGAATGGGAGAAGCCTCCTGGTACTGCCCATGACCGTCCTATTCTGTGAATAAAGGCTTCAGTCTCTGGATATATCAATACAGCACGTTTTACCAGCACACATTTGCTCTGAAATCTGAAGGGGGGGATAATGCCCTTGGGGCTGTAGTGAGATATGCTGTGTGATAATTTATATCTACCACTATGTTAAGTATTTATATTTCCGTTACATTTCAATAAGACAGCCTAT